AGCCTGCTTCTCCCTCTCCCACTCCCCCTGCTCGTGTTTCCTCTCTCTCTGTGTCTCTCTCTGTCAAATAAATAAATAAAATCTTAAAAAAAAAAACAAAAACACTTCACAACACTTGCTCGATGTGTCTTTCTCATGTACTGATTTTTTGTTTTGTTTAACAAAAAAGGCATTGTCCTACGCGTGTTATCTGACAACTTGTTTTTTTTTTTTTGCTTAACTATCTTAAAATTATTCCTTCTCAGTTCATTTACCTCTGCCTTTTAATGGGTCTGTCGTCTTCCATTGTATGCTTGAACCATCATTTACTCAAACATTCCCCTATTCTTGGACACGCAGCCTGTTTCCAGAATTTTTTGCCACCTTGTAAATAACTGCAGTGTCCTTGAACATAGGTGTTTATATATTGGTGCATTTATTTCTGTAGGATAGATTTCCAAAAGTGGGATGGCAAGATCATGGGCTATCTGTACTTTAAGTTTTATTAAATATTGCTCTTAATATCAAGAGACCATAGCTGTGCAACCTCCCACCAGTGACACACGGATAAGCCCATGTGTTCACATCTCTGACGGTCCTGGATGTGACTGTTCATTAAAATGTTGCAAATCTCTTCTGTAATGGGGTGGCATAAAATTGATAAACATGTCTGGGAATGGATTCTTTTTCTGCACTAATTTCATAAGTTATCCTTTTGCAATCGTTATTGGGGTGAAGATGGTCATTAGGAACATCTGGGGCAGAAGGCCAGAGGGAAATGCATTTTGAAGACCAGCCACAGCTCTCTGTTCCCATTAGTTTGCGCAGCGGAAAACGGGTGCCGGGCGCGTGGTGCACATTTGCAATCTCCCTGAAGGAAGCTGCACGGAGAATGACGTCATTAACCTGGGGCTGCCCTTTGGAAAGGTCACTAATTACATCCTCATGAAGTCCACTAATCAGGTAGGTCTGGGCCCTTTCACACGTACCAGAGAGACCACACATTGGTGGAGGGAACTATATAATTTTTTTTTAAAGAAGCTATTCTTGGGGGACACCTGGGTGGCTCAGTCAGTTAAACGTCTGCCCTCGGCTCAGGTCATGAGCTCAGGGCCCTGGGATTGAGTCCCACAGTGGGCTCCCTGCTCAGCGGGGAGTCTGCTTCTCCCTCTGCCCGCCACTCCCCCTGCTTGTGTGCTCTCTCCCTCTGACAAATAAATAAATGAAATCTTTTTTTTTTTTTTTTAAAGAAGATATTCTTGGGGCTCCTAGGTGGCTCAGTCCGTTAAACAGCTGCCTTCAGCTCAGATCATGATCCCAGGGTCCCAGGATCAAGCCCCATATTGGGCTCCCTGCTCAGTGGGGAGCCTGCTTCTCTCTCTGCCCCTCCCTCCTGCTCTGCTCTCTCTCTCTCTCAAATAAATAAATAAAATATTAAAAAAAAAAGAAGAAGCTATTCTTAAAGAGGTAATACACAGCTGGGCCTCTTGTTGGTACAGCACAGAAGTTTTTGTTTGGTGGCGGTGTTTTGTTTACCCTGTCTCAACTTACCCTCCTTGTGATGGGTACAGGCCTCTGTGAGTTGCCTGGAGGTAAGGAGGTACTTTGGAATGAGGGACTCATTAACACAGAAAAGCTAACTGGCCCCCAAAATAGAAACCCATGGACTTGAGTCTTTTCACTGTGTTACGAACCCCCTGAGCTAATGCTACGGGGGTTTTTTTGTTTTTGTTTTTGTTTTTTTTAAGATTTTATTTATTTTTTAGAGAGCGAGCGAGAGAGAAACAGCATGAGAGGGGCGAGCGTCAGAGGGAGAAGCAGGCTCCCCGCTGAGCCGGGAGCCCAATGCGGGACTCAATCCCAGGACCCTGGGATCATGACCTGAGCTGAAGGCAGACCCTTAACCATCTGAGCCACCCAGGCACCCCGCTAATGCTACGGTTTTACCATCTAAGCTTCTCGTATCTGAGAGCCTGGATTTGGAGCGAGCCAACAACTGACTGAACAGATGTCTTCACAGATCTTTGGTGTTAGCATCTTAGGCCCTTGGGTCTTGTAGCAGGAGAGTGGGTGGGAATTGATGGGTGCCTGGTAAGTCTAAAGGAAAAAGAACCCTTAACCCGTGGGGGTTGAGTGAGAACTTGAGGGTTAATATATATGGCTGTCTTTGTTTCTAAGGTCAAAGGAGGAGTTTATACAGAGAAATGGTCAGGAATAAGAATATTTTATCTTTTACTGTTAATAATAAATATTTTTACTTTATGAACCAAAGGAGCAGACATAGACGTTCTTTTCTTTTTTAAGATTTTATTTATTTATTTATTTATTTAGAGAGAACGTGTGTGAGCAAGGGGAGGGGCACAGAGGGAGGGAGAGGGAAAGAATCTCAAGTGGACTTCACACTGCGCACAGAGCATGGTGCGGGACTCGATCCCACCACCTTGAGATCATGACCCGAGCCAAAACCAAGAGTAGGGCACTCAACTGGCTGAGCCATCCAGGCTCCCCGGGAAGTTCTTTTCTTAATGAATGCATGAACTTTAGAGACTCTGAGCCACATCAGATCATCGGTGGTCTTCCTCCATCAACATGGGCTTAGACTACTCCCTTAGTCCCTTTGTTCTGACTGCTCAGAATTCTATTTTGGGTAAATGTACAAAATTCAGCTTGTAACATTAATGCAGTGAGAGTCCCTGAATTAGTATTATTTCCATTTGACAGTTGAGAGCTGGAGGTGCTAAAATGTTTGCATCAAGCAAGAGGCACTTAGAAAGCTGGGTGGCAGGATCTGAAATAAAACCCTAAAGAATCTTGACTTCTTCATCTCCCACATATCTGCCATAGACTGTGACAGCAGGGAAAAGCATCTCTGAAATTCAGAAACAGATGTGAGGGAAGGAGGGAAGACAAGCTTGGTTAGCCCACTCCGTTCAAGGAACTGGGAGTGTAGGGGCTTGCAGTGAGGGCTCCCTTCTCACAGACCACTTTCCCTTTTCAACATCGAGGGATTGTGTGCTGTCCATAGAGTACAAACCAAACAAATCTAAGCAATAGTAACAGGATGAATCCACCACAGCAGCTATTGGGGTAAACTAGCGGGTCAGTCAAAACAGTCTATTTAGACACTCTCTGGAGACACTGATTGAATGCAAAAGCCCATTTTCTTGTGTTTTATCAGAACAGTTAAATAAAGAGGGAAAACGCTGTAGAGCTATAACTGAGGGTTTTCTTCTCTCTGAAACTTAAAAAGCCACGGCCTTCTTTCAAGCCTTGGGAGCCCCTGAGTTGTTTAGTATTTTTCTTTCTTTGCAAAGAAAGTGAGAGCTCAAAGACTCATGGCTGGGTCTCTGTCTCCTGCCCTCATTGTAACAAAATAGCACATTTTGTAAGGATCAGCCCAAGGTCACTTGTACAATAGACTTGCTCTCCCCACTACAGCGCCTCAGGGAACTGTGGGTTAATGGATCCTCCCATCCCAGGGAGCTCCTGTGGCATGATGCAGCCAGGATGGATATACATAATTTACGAATTATTGGTAACCAGGGGGATCAGGAGAGGGGCCATCTCATAATGAGCTCTTTGGGTGAAGTTAATAAATAGGTCTCTTTGAACAGATGGGATCAAAGACAGCTTCTTGTACTGATCTTTCTTCTTTTTATTGAGGTATAAAATACATACTCTAAAGTGTACTAGTCTTAAGTGTACAATTCCATTAATTTTCTACATGTGTACACCCATGTAATTACCACGAAGGTCAGGATAGAGAACATTTCCAGAGAACCTCAGAGGGTTTCCTCATGCCCCACCCAGTCAGAACCCCACCCCCGCCCCAGAGGGAAGCTCAGCTCTAACTTCTATTAGCATTGATTCATTTTGCCTATCTTGAACTTCATAGACATGGAATTATACATAGTACTGAATTTTGTTTAAGACCATTCAAGTCAGGGGCGCCTGGGTGGCTCAGGGGGTTAAGCGTCTGACTCTTGATTTCAGCTCGGGTCATGATCTGACCCGCATCAGGCTCTGTGCTGGGTGTGGAGCCTGCTCAAGATTCTCTCTCCCTCCCTTTCCCTCGGCCCCTCCCCCGCCAACAAGAACAAAAGACCATTCAACTCAGCTTCAGCTTATGTCCTTCCCTTTTTTCCTAGGCCTTTTTAGAGATGGCTTACACAGAAGCTGCCCAGGCCATGGTCCAGTATTACCAAGAAAAATCTGCTGTGATCAATGGTGAGAAGTTGCTCATTCGGATGTCCAAGAGATACAAGGAATTACAGCTGAAGGTAAAGCATTCTCTCATTGTTTAGTCATTCAACAGCATCAGCTGAGTGTCTCCTTGTGGGGCACTGGCCTAAGTGCTGGCGGGAAGGAGAAGACAGGAAAACATCCAAAGATTACCTACTGCCTTTGGGAATATCACATGGGAAGGCCAACCTTTATAACATGGCAAGAAAAATGCTTATTGAGGTAACTACAAAATGCAAAAGGATGCTGGAGACAGGATGACTAGCTACATGGGATCCAAGGAGGATTTTACAAGGGAAGTCTTTTGAAGGATGAAGGAAGAAGGGAGAGGTGATTGCATTTCAGAGGTGGGAGCTCCAAGCATAAACCTCTAAATATAACCTTCTTCTCTACCCATAGAGATCTTCAGTAACTTTCTCTTCCTCTCTCATCACCACCCCACCTTGATCTCTTATTCTCTCCTCTGTCCTCTATAATTATGTCTTAAGCCCCATAGAAATCCTTCTAAGCAGCACATGACTGAATTGGCCATTGTCAGAATGACTGTCAGGGATGAATTCAGGTAATTCCAAATAGGGCTTTTGTTTCTGTTTTAGCTTGTTCTACATTTCTCTCTTTTTTCTTTTCTTTCCTTTCTTCCTTATTTTATTCAGAAAAATAACTAATTATGTACTGTATAGTTTAAAAAGTAATAATGGGGGTACCGGGGTGGCTCAGTCCGTTAAGCCTCCGACTCTTGATTTTGGCTCAGGTAATGATCTCAAGCCCCTCGTTGGGCTCTGTGCTCAGTGTGGAGTCCACTTGTCCCCCACCCCCTGCTTCCCCCACTCCTCAAATAAATAAATAAATACTTAAAAAATTTTTTTTAAGTAGTAATGGTTGAAATCCCATAAATCCCATAAAACCACCACCAAAGTCAAGAAATACAACACCAGCGGCACCCAGAAGTCCCTTTGAGTCCCTCGTCAAGCTCCACCCCTCCCTCTCCACTCTCCTGACTTTGAGGATGATCCTTTCTTTGCTTTTCCTTGTAGTTCTACAACCCATTTCTGCCTCCCTTAACATTATCATTTAGTTTTGCCTAATTTTGAACTTTACATGAATGGAATTATACTCTTTGTGTTCTTTCATTCAACACTACCATCCATGCTGGGTGTGTCTATTTATTTTCACTGTTACATAAATTTCTGTTGTATGACTATGAATTTATTTATACATTCTGCTGTTGATGGACATTTGGGCTGTTTCCAGTTTTAGGGTATTAGGGACAAGTTACTCCTGGTACATATGTACACAAACGTATAACAGGGGCACACACATAATTAGGAGTGGAATTGCTACATCTCAAGGCATGCTTACCCTGAAGTTTACTAGCAAGCCCTTTTCAAAATTAGTTGTCCCAGATTTACATTCCTACTAGTGTAAAAGTTTTTAGTGGTATGCATTGTTACTCACATTTTGTTATATGACCTTTTAATTTTTGTCTATCTGGGAGAGTATATTGGTTTATCATGGTTTTCTTTTTCTTTTCTTTTTTTTTCAAGATTTATTTATTTATTTTAGAAAGAGAGAGCACACACATGAGTGGGGGGAGGAGGAGAGGGAGAAGGAGAGAAGCAGATTCCCCGCTGAGCAGGGAGCCTGACACGAGGCTCCATCTCAAGACCCTGAGATCATGACCTGAGCAGAAACCAAGAGTCGGACACTTAACCAACTGAGCCACCCAGGCACCCCATCATGGTTTTATTTTTTTATTGTCCTGATTACTAATTGAGGTGATCCCTTTTTCCTATGTTCATTGGCCATTCCATTTGGATCTTCTGTAGTGGAACGTTCCTTTTAAGGTCATTTGCCCATGCTCTTCTTTAGATTGTGTCTTCTTCATGGTTTGCAAGAAGTTCAATTAACTGGAGCCCTTAGTCCATTTGGATTTATTGTAATTAAATTGGTATATTTGTATTCAAATCTACTTCTTATTTTGTGCTGTCTACTATCCCATTGTAATAGGGCCCTATCAGTTTGCTTCAGCTTATCACCACATTTACTGAGGGTCCATTTTGTTCAAGACCCACAACCTTGAATCTGCCTTCAAGATTGAAGGCAGGAGGGCGCCTGGGTGGCTCAGTTGGTTAAGCGACTGCCTTCGGCTCAGGTCATGATCCTGGAGTCCCTGGATCAAGTCCCGCATCGGGCTCCCT